GGACAAAGGTTACATGGTTGATAATGCACTTTACAATTGGTCATTCTCCCTATGTCTAATTAAATGCTAGAAATTAGATATCTAACATTTTTGTTCACAGATGTGTGTAGATGTCACCCAGTGCTGCAGACAGAAATATGTTGGTCTTTGCCGGGTTTCGGGCATATTTGTTTTTTTAAATAATTGTCTTGTCTCTGGAATCTAAACTGTAGAGGTCCTCTTTGAATTTTGCTACAGTAGCATTTCTCACTCAGATTGGTATAGATTCAAGGCCTTCCTAAATCTACACTAGCAGATGAAACAAGATTCACCTTTGGAGGTGCTGAGTCATTGCAAGGCTTATCAACACAACACTTTTAATGTAGGGTTCTATTTCCTGGGGCAAAGAACATCTGCTCTCCTCATGATTTTGTAGCCTTCTTTTAAAAAAACCCATGATTCTTCCAGACCTAACATAGAAGTGAATTCTCTGACTTGTTTCTTCCTCTCATGTAGAACAAATAGAGATAATGTCTACACTTAGCCATAGGACGAGATGTAGCCTATTTGTAAATCTACTAATTTTGAATATATGTATATTTTTAAATGTTATTAAAATGACATTTCACAACTTGTCAGCTTTATTATTTGTCATGCAAAAGTAGTCAACGAAGTCAACTCTGTGGAGACAGAATCAAACTTTAAAGACAATGATGCTGGATTCCTTTTAATAATGTGAATGTTAAATGGTTAGCAAAATCAGAGGTAGATTGTGTCATATGAAGATATTTTCTTATTGGGGTTTCTGCGAGCATGATCAAAGTCTGAGAATTTTTTTTAAAACAATCCGTGTCGGGAATACTGCTGTATTGTGTAATTACAAGATTTTATTGGGATAAACCTTTTTCCCAAGCAGAAATTGTGTTCCAGAATGTGATGCATTTTTCATGAAGCTGGTGACTGCCAAGGGATAGAACAGCAAATGCCAAAATAATCCTCCACTCTTCACTTTCTTTCATAAGAACAATTTGCCATGTGTTCAGAAGTGTCCATAGGTAGAAACTTCTTCTTCATATAGAAGAGTGGATATGGATTTCAATACTCTTTCTGTGGATGATAACTGAGCTTAATAAAACAGAAGATGAAACTTAGGTAGTGTACAAAGTGAACATTTAATTCTTGATTATCAGTAGGTAAAAGACAGGCCTGTGTGTGTAACAGTGCCTGCAGGAACACTAATATGCACTTATTAATCTCCTTTTCTTTCCGAAGCCCTGTCCTATAAGAAAACTTCCAATTTTTTTGTTGTCTCATTCTCTTGTGTAATTTAGCCACCATTGATCTGACACCTGAAATATATAAGCTTTGATGCATCCTGTCAGATAGTACATAATTCCATGCAATCCGTGCCACACAGCTGCACCAAATTTTACTCCTCACTGGCTTCCAGAGATTCAATAATTAACCTGCCAGGCGTGGGGAAACAGACATGAGAGATTTAACCAAGTAGGACATAGTGGTTAATGGGTACTTGTTCCTCAATTGTTTACTTGCACTCTGCCAATCTGCTTAAAAAATGTAAATTGTTTGGGTTAAGTTAATTATCATGCCATGCTTGGTTAGTGCATTTTAGGATAAGGAGACAAATTCTCATGAAAAATCTTTTACAGCCACAATTAAACTTCCCTGCTTTTAAATCTGCATTCAAATGTAAAAATGTATAGCTTAATTTCCAGATTGACTGCACATCCCTGCCCTAAAATCAATTATTGAAATCCCACATTTTATGAAAACCAGAATTTTGTGAAAACAGGTACACGTGTGCAAATTAACTTCAAAGATCAATTGTTTGAAGCTTCACAACTTTACAGAGGCTCTAGATTTTCATGTGTGATACATTTGGGGAACATTCATATTTAGAATTGCAATGATGATGAGCTTTTTCGGTTATTTAGATCACTGGAGTGAGATGTATGGCCCAGACTTCTCAGAGAAAAATGCTTTACAGTGCATCAGTGTTGAGTGAAAACACCACAGCTGACAAATATGGATTGCGGTGGATAATTTGTTCCTAAATTGCAAAGAAACCTCAGATGTCTAAATACAGAACATCACAATTAGCGTACTGAGTTTGTTCCTTCAATTAGGTTTTAAAAGGGAAATGACTGTACCTTTCCTTGCTAAAGTGAAAATGCTGAAAGAATGCCTCAGTCCAATTGCAAGCAAATCATCACTCTGGCAGTAACTAATAGTATTAATTAATTTCTTTGCCAATTGGATGTTTTGGCAAGCAGAAAACCAGTTCACAGCAAACCAACATGATTAAAATACCAACTAAATGTATTTGCAAGAGTTTATTGCAGACCTTATACTGACCCAGTGAAGATTCTGTACCCTCCAGTGGCTATACCAGCAAACTAGCAGTCTTCTCCTCATTACATATTCTCACTCAGGGTTTACAGCAGATGGAGCCAGAGGCTTCCTCTCTGGACATGAATCCCATCCAACAGGCACACCGGAGTAGCGACCCGTCAGAACCCTGTGTTTCAAGGACACAAAATCTTTTCATAGCACTGTCTCATGGCAGGACGTTTGGAGCATAACAACTGAAGTCCAGTTTTTTAACTCCGAAGCTTGAAACAAAAAGGTTTCGTGTTTGCACTTAGCTGTTCTAAATGTTTAAAAATAAAGCAGGTTTCAAAGGGGAACATAAAAGAGGATAGTTTGGTTTGCTGTAATTCAGAAAGTCACAGGTCATATAAAGAAACGCACAAAAGAACTTGTTATATTCCAAAGGGAGAGGAAAATGTATCTCCTGTTACACTGCACACTGACAAGATCATTTTGACTTCTGTAATTCAATCAGAAAGGCAAGTTATAGGCAAAGCACAGCATCAATGTGAGATGAATTAATGTAATTTCATTTTTTTGTTCAGGGGCCATGAAAACTCAATTATTAAGAGCAGAGTGATTATGAAAAATCTATTCTCCTCTGTGGAATACTTTCAGGACTGTATCTATTGGAACTAGAGTTGGACAATTATTAAGCTTAAATAGAGTTGTCCAGTATTACTGAAACATAAATATGCAGAGACAAATTATGTATTTTATATTACAGCATATAACATATAATTATAATAACAATTGCTTAATACTTATATAGCACTTTTCTGGACACTCCACTCAAAGCGCTTTACAGGTAATGGGAACCCCCCACCACCACAAATGTGCAGCATCCACCTGGATATAAATATATATGTGTCATATATTTTATATTTGTGGATGTCATAAAAATAAATATACTATTTGTATTTAAGGGTTATTTTAACCTATTCTTGGGACATGGACACAGTATAATTACTTTTTTTCCTTTCCACATGTAGATTGTTCTATTGATACGCATTAACAAATGTGTAAGAGGACTGAGAGGTTTTGGCACCATCTAGTGGATGAATATGCATTGTTTTCGTAACTGATTTTGATGTAGCCAACTCAGAATGGTTACATCCAGGGTGGCTCGTGTGGGGCAAAGGATTTCTTAAAATATCAGAAAAGGTAGTAATTGTACAGCAGCACTGAGGAGGTATGACTCTGTAACAGACAGTCACAAATTTAATCTGAGAATTTAATCTCATCTTTAAACCATTCATAGAATTGACATGTTCTTCTGTCACAAAGTTTCAGAGAACAAATTAAATCACCATTCTCTAACAGCACAGCGAAGTGTAGTTGAGTTCCTTGGCTGATTTGTTTAAATAAAACACAGAACCCTAATGAGAATTATTATTTAATTACTTCCACTTTTCTTCATGGCCTAAAAAGGAAGATTGTGTCAATCATCCTCATTCTCAACATTTCCTGCAGCAACCTGAAAAACAGCAGTCTAGGGATGCTTTCAAATCCCACAAGCCAGTAGTGGTAGACTTAATGCAAAATATCTACACTTGCTTTTACCATATAAGCTAGGGGATTTTAATAAATGATGAATCACTAAAAAACTGATTAAAAAGAAGGACTTTTCCTGGACCACCGTGCATTAAAATTAAATGACTGTGGCTTTAAGTATTTAGCTGCATTTAAGATACTTAAAAATACATAAATACAGTAGATTCACAGTCCTGCCTTCTGAAGCTGTAAAGTGTTAAGGAAAGATATATAGTCAATATCGGAGACTCAGCAGGGTGTCTTTAAATCTGGCGATATCAACATTGAGTCCCCTTGTGCCTACAAAGTAATCAAACTATAGAGAAATAAATCATCTTTGCTCAATCTTTCCAGTGTACTACTCTATAACACAAAGGAACAATAGGTTTATTCCATGCTGAAAAAAAGAAGAAAGAAAACAAAGTTTCGGCTGTGGGGCCTTCTTCACACTCACACTTGAAGAAGGCTCCACGGCCAAAACGTTGCGTTTTCGTTCTTCTCAGCATGGAATAAACCTATTATTACTTGTTCCTTTGCAGCCTACGCATGCTGACGCAGCTCCCCACCTGAACTATTCTATAACACTCTTGATTAATTAGCAGTTTCAAAGGGTGCAGACTGTCCACACTGGTCTAAGCTTTGCATGTCTTTTAAAAATAAAACAAAGAAACCAATCTAGAAGTTGAACAGTCTTTTCCATGTGCTCAGCAGTTCCCTGGGGGTACGAGGCCAGGCAGCCCTTGAAGAAGGGGGTGTGGGCAGGGGTCCACCCAGCGACCAGGCAGCTGAAGACGCCCGAGTGAAAAGAGTGTCTTCAGTGCCCGTTCCCAGGACACACCAGGCTCGCGGCTAAGATTCTCCAGTTCTCCCAAAGTCAAGCACACCGTCTCACACAGACACAGCCCCTCTTTCCAAACTTTACGGCACTTCATTTCGATTCAGGTCACCAAACCTCACAGGCTTACTGTAACAAACAAGGAAATGAAACTGAATTACCCGTCATATGTAAACTGCTTTTGGGAAAAGCTTTAAAAAACTATTTAGCATTCAGCCAAGGAACCCTTTTATCAACCACAAAGTTAAGCTGACAGCAAACATTTTGTTGGAAGTAATTTTATTAGTAATTTAAATCTGCTAAATATACAGCCATTGTTTTATCTAAATATTATTTATCATATTTCATTTACAAAAGTAGGCAATTACATCATTTAAATTGGATTAAAAGGAAATCAAAGCAATTACACAATAATACTTCCCCCCCTGCATGTTTAAAAGAGCCCAAAGAAGAGGCATCAAGTATTCACAATCAGAATACAGACAATTTGGGTAAAAGAAAAAACACTGACTGGGACAAAGAGGGTTAAATCAGACGGAAAGCATTTAAACACAGCTGATCTTAAACTGCATATTCCAGAAAACACAACTCGTGAGATACCAGGGCTCAGAGTTGTCTATATTAATATTTTGGTTAAACATGATTCTAAAATGAGCACAAGCTGTATTTTTCAATTATTTTGGTCCAAATCCTAATAAGTACAGACCACCTGATGCTAATCTTGAGCCCTGCTCTATTCAATTACTTAGAGATCCAGTCCATTCCCAATAGTACTAAAGTGCCTCTGTGCACTACTTGGTGGATTTTCAAATTTTGTATCAGGTATATGGCAGTAACAGCTAATACCATTGAGATACTCAAGGAAAATCCTTAGGTTATTCACATCTAAAGGGCAAACAGACTCCTATTGTATATGCATTTGTTTCAGTGAGGTTTATGAACCAAAAGAGCACAAGTGTCAATAGTTGCTTCAAATGGTTACCTTCATAAAACTGAACAACTTAGGACATTAAGTTAACCAATGAAAAAAAAAATTGACTGAAAACAAAAAAAAATACAATATTTAAAGCAATTCTAGAGAAAGACTGCATATAAATGTCAGAAACAAAGCTGCATTAACAGACCACCCTGCTGATATACTGTACAATGTATATGCACTTTTACATTGAGAATAGGTTTGTCTTTGCACCAGGATTTTGAAAAGAGCTGCAATAAGAACATTTCAGAGGGACCCCATCATCTGCAAATTTGCCAAATAACATTTTCTCACGGCTGTCTTAAGACAAAACCTTTGCTTAAATCAAAGATTAAAAGCACTTTTTTTTTTTACTCTAACACAGCACTTTTCTTTAAAAAGTCTTTTTAAGAAACTTCAGAAAAACTTCTTAAAAAATTACAGAAAAATAAAAATAACACTAGGACATATTTCATTTTTTAAAGCAAAGGCTGCCCCTTTACTTTTGAAACGTGTATTTTCTATTCAAGCCTTCTTTCACATGGGCAGATCAAGATTTCAAATCATGTATGGGATTTTCATTTTTCAAAACTAACAATTCAAAAGTAATCATACACTGATTGAGCAATAAGCAGGTTTTCAGAACAATATAGGAAAACATGGTCAAGTTGAACAGCAGTTAATGCACTGTATATTTATATTCTTTTAAAAATAATGGACATTTTAACGAATGTCTATTCAAGTTCTCTGGCTTTGTAGCAAGCCAGCTCCCCTATACATAGCTAACAGTACTTAAAACACTGATGCTTAAATCCCCTTAAAGGAAGCACCATGGATTCAAGTGCCGGAGTGTTTTAACTATAGGGGCCCAGAGAGTCCAGTTCACAGACGCTTTCAGATAGTTAACACAGCTGCCTTAAAAACTAGGTCCAAGCATTCAGACAGCAAGGACAGGAAAAAAAACTAACTTGAAATCTGAACATTAAGAGCAGTTCTACATTCCGACATTTCTGTAATATATATATAAGAAATGAGAAAGAAGTCAAATACAGGAGCTGTTGGGAACTACTGTACAACAGATCAGTACACTTTAAAGAGTACATTACTCTTATTCCAATTATAATATTAAACGTTACTTACCGTGCTGTTACCTTGATTATTATTCTATAAGAAAGCAATTATTTTCCTTTGAATCTTTTATTCGGTCAATACTATGTATAAAAGACTGTAATTCTTATGATGGAATAAAGTCAAAAAGAAACTGTAGAAATATTACGCCAATGCTTCTGTTAATTATGCAATTCATAATTATATTTGAAAGCAAAAATAAGTTCACTGATATACATGCTAAATTAAATTTACCTATAGGTAAGTATATTTAAAGTTTTGTTAAAATCAGCTTATTATTTTTTTCTCACTCCACTACAGATTTTAAGGAAGAACAAGGACAAAGAGATGTGATAAGTGCATTGTTTCACATGATCTCCTATACTTTTTTTATCAATACCTAGTTGTCCTAAAATATTGTTGTGCTATTGGTAACACACCAGAATTCAAGAATACAGTCACACTTGTAGAAGGCCCCCACAGAGATCTCATTGAAGAGGATTTAGTAGCTGGGGACTCAGAGGGAGTTCATTTGCAGCCAGAAAGACATATGGCTGTCAGAACAAAAGCTGGAAAGAAAAATAAAATTCAGCCTCACTTATTCCAGTAAGAATTTGTCACATTCATGTTATCTGCGGCCAACTACGAGGTATGAGTCAACATGAAAAACAGACACTTGACCAGCTTTGGAGAGGCTCAGAAAGAGACAAAAATAATTACTTTATTGAGCCCCTTTTTGTGATCAAGTCCATTGGTTCTCTTACCATTAGCAAATATTTACTTACTTAATCACCCCAACCCCCTTCAATTAAATCTGATTGTTTTAAAAAAAAAACTTTTTGCATTTAGGCAACAATACCTAGTCTAAGAAATCATTCCTATACCACAATCCAGCTTCAAAGTCAAGTCTCAGTCCTGATAATATTCCTTAAATATCACAGCAGCATATTTCATTTAGTTACAGTAAAACAATGTTAATATAAATATCCTAAAAGAATGAAACCCATTCATATACATTAAAAAGAATCTCCAGCCCAGAAAGCGCTTCTATTTGTCACCACCCTCCTTCTAAAGCTTGGCAGAAGAAAAGACAGTTATTTTGGCAACAAACAAAAATGATAGAAGAATATAACCCTACATATATTTACCTTACTTGATTTTTGGTAGCTTTTAATGAAAGTATAAATAAAAACGGCTATGAATAAATTACAAAAAAAAATCAGTAGTTTCTTCAGTGTTTTGGGATTATTTCGAAAGCAGAAAGCACACAAATGAATTACAGCAGATTTCAGTAAAGCTCGAATTCATCGTGCAGGTCATGATCAGGAACTGCCAAGTCCTCTGACACAAAACAAGCATCTGGACAAACTTCCAGACTTGTCTGCAAGGACTCTCCACACTGGTCTAAGCTTTTCGTAATCAAAATTCATGTCAATATGTAGTCATTTACCTGAGTACGATACTTATAAAATTAAACTATTGTTACCAGAAGTACAAAACAAGCACATGTAATACACAGAGATTTACCGAAAGGTTATGCATCACTGCTAGTGCAGATTTCTTTGCATGATGGCCGCCTCTTTATCCCTTTACTATGGCGGCTGAGTTTTAATCACTTAGGATTTGCTGCAGCACACACAGTAGGTTTCTGAGCCCGAAGATGTACCCCTCGTCTCTGGTGTTACTGGGAAAGACGTGAGCAAAGTCTATCATTCTCACTTCCACTTCGTTCCTTTTCTGCACCTCGGCTGGATTCAGCTGCCTTTCCTTATCGAGTTTGATATCATTACGGTTAGGCTGCTCCAGCGAGAGGCGAGGCGTGCGCTTCCACACGCCATTGTCCTGCGGGGCATTGCTGGTTTCCGAGGGAACGCCGCTGTGATGGCCCTTGGAACAGCCCTTCTTGTGGAGCGCGTACATGTTTGACAGGCTCTGGCCAAGGGAAGCTGTCATCCTCCCATTCTCTGTGGAGTCGATTACACGGACATTATTGTTGCACTCCAGGACTTCTCCATCTGGCGGACATCCTTTGGGAAGAGCCGTCTTCTCCGCCAGACTTCCATCGAGCAGCTCCGGAGCTGTTGGCTGAGGCAAGCCCTCATACACAAACAGCAAAGAGCTTGCATAAAAATTTAATTGGCTCTGTCCCTCAAACCACTGCAGTATCTTCTGAACTTTCTGAATGCTGACAACTATGGCATCTTTTCGGATGTTGTTCCCATTGAAGAAGAATTTGGCTAAACCTATGGGGATCAGAGATCAAAAACATTTTTCTTTAGTGCTGCAGCTGGAGGGGAAGGAAAGGCCATTTCTTAGGGGTTAAAATCTTGTTTTTCAGGCAGTATTTGAAGATCTGACAGACTGCAGTAAAAATACATGCTACAAGAATGTGCCAAAGAGCAATAAAGTAAATCTGTAAAGTTTCAAGAAAAGTGCAATAGTGCTCTGCAACTTCAACAAACTCAAATTAATGCTGACTCCAGTCTTAGGTCTTGAAGCAGACAGTTTAATGGAGGGGTGTGCAATTCTGGTCACGGAGGGCTGGTATGTCTGCAGGTTTTCAAGGTCTCTTTAAAGCAGCAGCACCTGAAGAGCTGGGAGAAGCTGTTTAACTAAATTAGTTTAGCTGTTTAAGAGCAGCAGTGAAATGAAAACATCCAGACAGACTGGTCCTCCAGCCTCCAGGACCAGAACTGGACACTTCTGGTTAATGTATTGTATTGTATGTATTGTACCTCATTTTCAAGAGACAATCCCAGGCTTGGGAAGATATTTAAACAGCTATTAGAAATATGATTGTTTCCTAAAATAATAAATATACATCTAATCGATTCTATATTCAAGCGTCTTAAAGCATGTGTCATAATCTTTGGATAAAATTGTAGACCGTGATGGTACTGTAATGTTAGTGTTGATTTTTGTTCCTATTTGATGTTTATGAAATGCTGATCACAAAAAAAGAGACACTCCTAGCATGACTATAATGATCCAGTGGATATATTAAATGGAGATTCTCAGTTTTGTATTTCACCCAGCAGCCTATGAACACATTAATCCAAATTAGTTCCAAGAAAAACATCTACTCTTTACACTTCCTTACCATCCTTTATAGTGTCTTTTACTAAACCCCTTCCATAGTGCTGGTCATGGGTCTCGTAACTGTCAGTGCTCACTTGATATACCTGGAAGAAAAGAGACAAGATGTCAAGAGTTATTTTCTTGTGGATTGAGTTTTACATAACCATGTGGTGTCCAGCTGTGAGCGGTATATGTTTTTGAACAGGTTAGGTTGTGGCTTTTTTCTCCAGTCAACCTGTTCTCTTGCTTTCTCATTTTCTCTCTCTCTCATGTCGGTCCAGCACAGCATGACTCAATCTTTAATCTTCATTTAGTCTCAAGAACATCAAATCTGGAATTCTTCAAATATGCCTTCTAGCTTTATCTAAATTACTCAATGCAACGACTGAGAGGTAAGTTTGTACACATAGCTGGATTGAACTGAGCTAATTTACTGTTCCACTCATAGAACCCAAACAGCAGGTGTTTGAATTTGTCAGGATGATTCAGGGGAAAGGGAGGGAACCATTTAGTTGTCAAAACAAAAAGGAACCAATTTCTCTCAGAATTTCAATTTCATAGTGGTTGGACAATTTAAGTTAACTTAAATCAGCTCAGGTGAAGGAAATAAAGGAAAATGCACATGGATGGACAATAAATGATCAAGTGACTGACTTCTGAGTCATCTTATGGTATATGATGGACAATTCTTAGATAAACATCAAGTAACAACGATCCTGGTTCTGTTGCTTTTATATTTTTACATTTTAATAATATGAAAAAACGGATTCAGGAAACTGTAAATATGCATACTAAAGAATACAGCATATTGAGGATTTTATCCATTTAAAAATATGAAATTCTTGTGGGGCCCTATCCAGAATATTGTGAATTTTGTATTATGGTGATGAATACAGAATGCACCAGACTAGATCAAAATCAAGACAGATGTCTCCCCCTAGTGGAAAACTGACACAAGGAATGCTGACATTTTCTGCCACTTTCTGCTTCCAAGAACCAAATTACAGTGCATCAGCATACAGAAATGCACCATTCATTTTCATTTAAAATTGAAAGTACCAAAATGTGTTTTACAGTAGCTAGAAAAAACAATCAAAAAAGGATCCTGAAGTCCACTGCAAATGGATCCCATTATCAAAAATTAGCTGCCGTGCCTAATGACTGTGGTTTGCTTTCTACTGGGCAGCGATCCACACCATATCACAACAATCAGCACTTCAACTGGCAGGAACAGGTCACTTCTGTCAGCAGCCACAGGGGGAGGTCAAAGTTCTGGGCATGCAGCCTGCTCCAAAGTGAGCTCATGCCCTGGCACAGGATTGAGAAACATGTTCTGCCATCGTCTCTCCCCTTGCCAGCATGCCTGGGGTCCAGCTCACAACCAGCTGGAGAACGGCTGGCTGTTTTCAGTCTTTCCGCTGTACAGCTATCAAGCATTCACAAACATCTTTATCTCCTGGACTGAGCTTTCCTGCCACATTGAAATCCCACAACAACAGAGCACCATATCCCTAGAAAACGGCTGGATCAAGCTTTTAATGACAGTATATTGTTTCATCAATCAGCAGCATTAAGTGTCATTTATCTCTTTCCAGTTACAGCCACAGGAATTCATACAAAGCACCAATGTAACATGCACATCTTTTAAGCTCTTCACTGATGTTGATTAAAGATATCAATCATCACATTTTCTTCACCATATGAGTGCAATGCCACTTGGCACCTGCTGCTTTGGGAGAAAATGCATTTAATAAAATGAAGGGAGAACCTTAACAGAAGATATCTATGTCCTAATGAACAGCTGGAAGTCTAAAAATGTATATTAGTGCAGCGGCACTTAAATATGCAGCTAACATGTTCACTAACATACCTACAGTACATGGTGCACAGGAGGTATAATTCCACTTGTCCCTGTGAGAATGCTTCCTTTACAGTCCTGTAAAATGATCACCTTACATCATCTGTTTTCAGACAGCATCTGGATTCAACTCAGAACAGATCAAGGTAGAAGTTTATAACTGGGACTACATCGATAGGAAACGATTCTGACCTATGGATTGATACCATAGCCATTCAGGTTTTTTTTATCTATGTTGGCAGATAATTTCGATATTATATGTAATATTTCCTTGGGGTTGTTTTTTAGTTCTGTATTTTTCAAGATCATATCCTGAGATTCAGATATACTGCCAGGAAAAAGTCTGATATTACGGAAAACTTCAGAAGGGTTAGAGGTAATAAATTGCTAAGACAAATCTACTGAGAAAATAAACCATTACCTGTTGCTCAGATAAAAAGACAAGATGAGAATGCGTTTAATATGATACATAAAAACATGTAAACTGCTAAATTACAAAAAACAAGACATGGTAGTAGGTTCACTGGCTTCTGGGAAAATTTGCCCTGGTGTGAGTATGTGCATGTGTCTCGCCTTGTTCCTGCTGCTTGCCAGGATAGGCTACAGCTCCCCTGCCACCCTGAATTAGATGAAGCGATTAGAAAATGGATGGATGGATTCCATCTTTATTTTCTGGACAGCATAATAAATCGCTAGGGGTTTTATGATAGAACAGGGCCCTGTCTAAAATATTTTCTTTTTATGTCCTGCAGCCTATAATTTATTTTGTACTTAAATTTTACAGTGATCATATCTTATTCCATTCTTGTGTATAAATGTATAAAAGGAAAGAAAATCTCTGAAGCTTTCAGCAATAATAACATGGGGAAGTGTAAATCTAACCATCCCTCAGGTTCTTGATAAATAGTACACAAAAAAAGCTGGAATGACAAACATGCAGTAGGACCTGCAAAGATCGTTTTAATTTCATCCATCTAAAAAGACTGCATTCCACGTTCTAAAACTATTAAAAAGATATGTATTAGGAACCACTGAAAGTGCACATAATGTAGAATGTGTCAAATATTCTATAAAATAACAAGCGTAATGATTAGAGAAAGACTCTCCAAATAAAGTGTTAAAGTTACTCCTTTGGAAAATGTGGAGTTTTTAACTCTAAGAAATATAACCGAACTAATCATTCATGACAAATGATAAACTGATAAATCAGTTACAATTAAATATTGCAAATTAAATGGGAAACTGTGTTTCTAACAACGGAAAATACCCGTGGAAATAAATATTGTATTGCAAATGCCAGAGTAGAGAAATGGATTACATAATGATATCACCATGTAATAATGATCTTCATCAACTTTTTTTAAGACAATTTTGACTATTGACTAAAAGACTATAATCCTTTAATAACTATCGAAACGCAATATTTTCAAGGGGCATTCAGCTTAAAGCCTTAAACATTGTGACTGTGATAAACTAAATCAATAAGAAAAGGTCTAATGTGGACATGTTAAGACTACTTTCTTCCATCATCCACACAGCGTGGCCCTAATTAAATCTCCCAAAAGCCTCTTCCTTTCATTCAAACAACTGCTGCAGCTTGGCGACTTTTCTGTATCTCTGTTCTGTACGGATGAAAGAAGAAATGAGGAGACATGAACCCACTGTACAAAAAAAATCTATAAAACACTTCTAGTACAAATAACACTGTACTAGGAATATCAATAACAAACCATTTTACAAGGGTATAACTAGCTCATTGAAGTGCAACCTTTACCTCTGAGAACACCAGATTGATTTAAGCAGGCTCTAGTACAGATCAAACTTTATTTGGCTGCAATACGGGGGTGTATGTGGATTACATTTCTGTTATCTCGGCACTATAATTTCAGCAAATCCACAGAACAATTGGCCATAATGGAAAATTGCATGAAACTGATCTAGTATCCTGCTCTATGCAGGAAAATGTTTCAATTTTTTGCTTCTTTATCCAGGCCCCTCATTGTTATGGGCTAAAACAATCACTTTTCACATGTTAATGATTCACAGATGGTACAGATAAAAGCAATAAACACAGCAGCAATTAAAACTTCTTATATGTAATGTTCAATTTATTTTAACTATCTTCCCATTGCACTGGTTGTTTAAAGCAACACACAGATTCACATTTACTCGGTTTAACTGACTGAAATTAAAAGGCATATTTTAACACAGACCTAGCACTAAAGCATGGGCCATATTTAGCAACATTCCAATGTGCTAACTCAGTAGGAAGGCCAGACTGTTCCCCACAATTAGACACTGCTGGTCCATGATTCGGAAAACATGTTCCTGTTTGCTGACACAAATTTATCTCAAGCAGCTTCAATTTAACACATTTGCCAAACCTCCCCCATAATATTGTGCTCAGAATCTCAAGAGAAAAGGGGCTGACAAAACCTCTTTAGCTAAAGGGTCAGGAATCTAAAGCAAAATCCAGTGATTGCTGTGACGGTTTGCTGGACTTTTTCAAATTACAAGGGGCTAAATCAGAGGTGCATATTTCATGAGCCTTACATGAAAGGCTACAAATTTGCACTCTCTCTCTAAAGCTGAGAAAGAATGAAGATCTAATGGCCCTTGAAAACTGGAACTTCTTTCAGTTCCAGTCTTTTCAAAACACTGAACTGCAACCCAATGACCTTGTATGATCTTACACAGGTAGTGTAATCTCCCTTCCTTTCACGAAGAAGGAAGTTTGACGCAAGTCACGAGTGCCTAGAGATGGTTTGGTTATAGATTCATTCTTGTAACTCACAAAGGGTGCACCAGGAAAATTCTGGTTTTGAAACTGGAAAAAGTAATTACTTATTACAGGAATTACTGTACATTATTGCTTTTCACGATTGCCTTTAACTTCCACGAGACTGATAAAGCCGATGACCTTGGGAATGATGAGGTGTCTAAAAGGACAACTTTGCCGATGAGAAATGAAATGTCATTAAATCACTGAAATTAGAGTTAAGCAGCCTGTTCGAATCCATTACATCTCAGACTTGACATTCCTGAACTGCTCTATTTGCACTACTGTAAATCACTGTATCCAATTCTCTTGCCTGTTTTTCTCGTCTTCCCCCCAATTCCTCACAGAAATGCTGCTAGAGTGTTATGATTATTGGTGGTAATTAACTAGAGAATTGTTCCTCTAAACACACTGTGCAGCAGGCTTGCTGCCCAGACTTCTGCAAAACATCCTCCTTTTATTTAGGCACAGAGCAGGAGCTGTGCAAGAGTAAAACAGATGTTCAGTACTCGCATAAACAAGTGTGGAGGCCGGGAAAGAAGCCCAGGAAGACTGCACCTTAGGACTGGAAGCGATTCATATGAACAAGTACATTTCAAACTGCATGGAAGGTCAAAATCTTTTTAAATGTAAGGTAAACAGTACACTACCTCCACGACAAAAATAACTTTTAGTTTGAACTCTCGAGCGCTAAAAGTTTATTGGCTTAGTTTACAACTGCACAGGGAGAACCCATGCATGCTCGGCTCTGACACGCCTCTGCTGGAGCCATGTTTACTTGCCAGTGTCACCTCTCTGGTTAGTGATGTGCCATTCACAGACACCCCTGCAGGGAGAGCAAGGAATGGCAGGCCAGCCTCTATCTCATCCACCATGGTACTGTTTGGCCAATCTGCAGCACCAGCTGGGAGAATCAGTCACGTCAAAGACTAATGACCCGGCATGAACTGGTGACATGTGGTCCACAGGACTCAGCCTGCATCCTTTCTGAGCAGCTCTGGAGCGGCAGGTGCTGAGGTGCTGGATATTTTTCATCTCATCTAAAACTGGTGATGAAGCCTAGAAGCTACAGAGAATAAGCTACAGAGAATTTGACTTCAAAGCTTGTAGCAGAAGTCAGAAAAGAGCAAAGCACTCACTCTCATGCCCAAAACGAGGAAGCCAATCTCTTCCATCAGCGGGTACTTCTTGATCTGCTGGTCCTTTTTCTCCTTGGATGCAAACGGGTCGTAACTCCTCTGGCCTATCTTTACATCCATAATACAGGGCTTGTTGAATCTGCGGGTCACGTCTTCCAGCTTAAGGTACAGATCTAGAGTCGGACAATAAAACACAGGACAGGGGAGGGAGGGGGAAGGAAGAGAATACAGATCAATGGTGTTTTGAGCGTAAGCTAATCTGCAAGCGTTTTCATTACATTTTCTGGAACAATCCATTTAAGAGGGAAATAAAACACAAAGCAGACAGATCAGAAGGGTTCTCACATGGCCAGCTCTAGTCATCTCCTTAAGGTTAAGGAAGAAATCAAAATAACATAAGGTTAAAAATTACTTAGGTGCTAAAAAAGGTAAACCAATGCAACCACTGCTCTTTTTTTCTGAAAAACCTACATTCTCTAATTAAAAAACAAAACCTTAAATGACTGAAGAAAAATAAAACCCAAACATGCCATACATCTTCTGAAATAGAAATGGTTACCATTGGGTGCATCAGGCGGTGTCCAGGTGCCATAATATTTAGGAAGATAGTACTGAAGCTCTGAGAAGAAAGGGTCACGGCATTCTTCAGCATACACCTGAGGAATACAGAATAGAAACTGAGCACTAGGTGACAAAATCAAAACACCCCCATCTACTTTCCAACAAGCACTCATCCATTTCAGTAACTATCACCAACCTGATAAGCTTTTACATCTCCACAGGCATTTTTTTTTTTACTGTAACTAAAACTAACAGTTGAACTAAATACATTTCACAATTATTTAACCAATATGTATATGTTATGGTTAAATGTCTGCATGTCTGTGCAAGCAGCAGAAAAGTCTGTTAAGAGTGAGGTTTACAATAACACACTAACAGCAGATTATGCATTTAAAAGGTTGCCTGTAGTCTATATCTTTATCTCCAGGTTGTCAGAACTCCTCTAACATTGAGAGAAGGGTTAAAAGTGTTTGTTCAGTGGAGACAGGACAGTAACAAGATTTAGACAAGTTTTTATAGTTGCGTATTTGGGGCATATGCATAAGCCAACCCTCCTTTTACTACAGGGCAATGAAAACTCCTTTACACAAAATGTACAACATTTTTATCTAATGAGGGGTGCATGTGCAAAATTAAGTGCATCTTTCGAAAGGCGTAATTGAGAAAAATTTTAATCAAAACTGCATACAATAAGAGTAAACATGATACTATTACTCTCTATGCACTAAATCTTTGACAAAAAATTCTACTTATTTAGGCTGTTTCTACCCGAGTGTTTTTATGCAAAGATTTTCTTTGATTCTGTGCTTTAACAGACTAAGCAGAAAAGTCACAGCCTGTCTAAATTTTTAAGGTATTTTGTAAGGTTTGCTTAGATTTCAGAGCACTGTAGTAATTCCAAAAGTGTACAAAAAAACATAAAATGGGAAATGAACACAGTAATATTTATACGGGTCCAAGTAGGTGTAGTACAAGCAGAACACAAACAGGTATATTGGCATTTCTCCCGAATTTGCGAACATTTGGTAAACACAAGATGGATCACTTTAATGAATTCAGCATATACACAAAATAAAATGATAAACAGCACTTAATACAATTCTTATAAAAACTATATATGCCAGAAACAGTTATATTCGAAACTCATTTTTTACATATTTAAAATGATATACAAAAATGAATGCTAATTCACAGGCTTGCATGGACACAGTCTGAGCATACACAGAAACAGGGTGTATCTCTGTGTTCCAGTAAACAAGTCTATAAACAAGACTTGTATACATGTGAACTATATTGCGGCATCCTGCTCTTTGTTGCCAAAATAAAAATATTTCCTAAAACCAAAACACTATACCCAAAGACTAGAAGCTGCTGTGATTCATCACAGTCCATTTTGTGTTTAATTTACAAGGGGCCCTGAAAACAATCATTCTAGACTTCAGAAAGTAACATGATTTACAGCTTAACCTTGGAAAACATCTAAAGCATCAAGCAACTAAATAATTAATCCAACAGTTGGTTTGATTTCTATTTGTGTCAGTGGACTTTCCGATAACATGGATTTTACTTTTAGCTACTTTTTCCAAAAGACAGGCTGGAATTAACACTTGTATTTAAGAGACAACAATGTGTTTTCCTTTGTCAAGACCCAAGAGGCCTGATTTTTTTGCAGGAAAAGTCAAGAAAACTGCTCTTCTCGTGCATTTAATATAGTATAGTCGGTTTTACTACAGAGAAAACGATGATGTATAAAGTAAAAGTACGTTCACCTTGTCCCGAACAACAAACATCACATAGTTGCCTACTAAAAGATTCAGACAAACACTGCCACTGGGACAATGGGAAATAAATGTCCAACCCATAGTTTGAATTCTCTCACATATACAGTAATGTGGTATATTGACTAAATCCAGCATAATAAAAATAAGAAAGATTATAATTATAATACTGGTGGGGGTCGTCCAGTAGTGCAGTTATTAACTTTTCTCACAAACAAAACATGGTTCTGAACCTGATCCTTTGAATTTCAAGTGTCTTGGCGTCTTTGAAGCCAAATGATTTTTGCATCCACTGCCATCACTGTGTGTCACTAAACATACTGCAAGGCTTCTCTCACCTTCAGAGATCATGAGTGAACCATCTGTTTAAAGATCCCCATTCCAGTGGAGCTATTCCTAAAGCTCCATTAGTGATTTACTCCAAAGGAGTCCCTCTTTTCTAACAAAGAGGTAAGCCATTCAGTTACACTGAAAGGGGAATCATACCGTTACCAAAGGCTTTGGACATCCATCTTCCTTAGTATATCCTTCCTCATAGGTTTTAAATGAGCCTTTCAAATCTCCAGATGTCTCATTTACTTCTAGTTTTATAGCATTATCCTTCCCTTCAGAGCCACTTTCAGATTGTATCACACTGATAAAGGAGATAGCAAGGAGCCCTAAAGATAAATCAGGAATTTCAGGTTCAAAGTCTCCTAATTAATTTGGATGGGGGGGTAGAGGGTGGGGAAGAACAAATATTATATAGAGTATTTCAAGGGAACACAGTAGGAGGCCACAGAAATGTTAAAGTAGAAAAACTATTAGATGACTGGGAATGCTTTTAATGAAAGAGGCTCTTCCAGTCGTCAACATGCAAGACAATTTAATACTTGCCTACACAGAACATTTTAACTGAATTTTATAGGCAAATAAGTGAGGGCTCCAATCATTTTATTTGCTTCAAAAGGAAAAAAAAAAGTTTTACGGCTTTAACTCTCATAAACAATATTAACTTAGATATTGAACAATATTAAACAGAGTACATCTGAAGGATAGCTCAATCAGAAGACAGAACAGGAAACCAAATATTTAGAATTAATATCTTAATCAACTAGGGACTATAATATCCGTATTTCAAAGTGCCATAGAAAGAACAACTCCAGAAGAAAAATCTTTTCATAATTTTGGATGTCTGAAAACACATTAAAATGAACATAACTCTAAGGCAATCTAAAATAGGTAAGTATTACTTTTGCATTTCAAGAGAAGGGGAAACCAAAACTAACAGCATTAACATCTTCATCCCAGCAAGACAACAATTTACCTATGAAAGAGATTAATTGTTCTGGTCAGAAAGGCAAAACACAGTTCAGTATCTCATAGCTCATGCAAGCACCTTGAGTAAACGGTATTCTTTAGTAACATCGGGTAAGAAAATGTCACTACAGGTGAGCTAAAACTGTAAAACGTACAGCAATCTTTGCCCTTAACAAGCTTCAGTGTACTTTGACCAATTAAGGAGGGTGCTTTTATCCATTGAGGAAGGCGTAGTCCTTTACCTTGTTGTAAAACTGCAACTCTCTCAGGCCACGAGGAGGAGGCTGTAGCTGCTTTAAAACAGTTCCATCTGGATGTTGCAAGATACCTGTAATAGAAACAAACAGAACATGTAAATGCCCTGCCTGCACACTTACATCATCTGTTGCCAGCATAGTGTACACTCCCTGAAGCATTCTCTAATACAGAAAGGAAAGGCATTCTTTTCTTCACCTGTAACACAGTAATAGCTTTCAGCCATTTAGGCCTAGAAATGCCTTTCAATTTAATTGCTCAGCACTGCAATGTCATCTGTGTAGGGAAAATAGCATTAAAGAGAGAATTATGTACCTAGCAACCAAGAAATACATACATTTATTTTCAGAGGTCTTTGATTACAACAAAAAAAAAATCATTTTCAATACATTCTAGTTATGCCTAGTTAAGTCTCAAACAGAATGTTGTGTACAATTTTGGTCACAATGCTACAGAAAACATATTACTGCTCTGGAATCAGAACAGAGAAGAGTAACAAGAAGCATCCTGGGACTTCAGTGGAAACTATGTGGATGTACATTTAAAAGTGAGAACAGGAAGCACTTCTTTTCCCCAAAGGGGTGTGGGATTATGGAAGACAGTTACCCAGATATGAGGTTAAAGCCAATACTTTGGCTTCCCTCAAGACTGAAACATGACTGCATGAGATCATTGGATCAATAAGCTACTAACCACCAAATGGGCCTAATGGGCCACATGGTCTCTTCTCATTTGTAACTTTTCTCATGTTCTCCAAAGCTATAGAACACACACTATGATAAACATAAGTATTGAGTTCTTCAATCTGGAGCTTTAAATTAATGGATAAGAACTGTAATCTACCCATTCACATCATAAAGCAATATATTAAACTATCACTGCCATGACCAATTCTGCACACAGTAAGTACACAGTTCCTACAGCACAGGGTGAAGGGTTTCCTTATAGCTGGCTCCACATGATTAGTGGAGAAAAAGACTCACTACTGACACAAATCATTCAAAGTAGTGAGGAACATGATCTCATCTTGTCACTTATCTCCAAGCTACTGACCTTTTATATTTCATAATCTCTGAAAAGCCCTTGGTACAAATCCATTCATCTGCACTATCACATCATTAACAAGTTCCCTACAGAGGAATTACTGAAACACAAAGAATGAAAAAGCCCCTGAAGTTATCTACTGCCATACAGAGGCTGCACATCAAGAGCCATTTTAGGGAAAACTACACAAAGATTACAGTAGCTCTGGCACTGATGTTGATGTAATAGGTGACTGGCAGTTTCTTGAAGGTATTTATGCAAGGTATCTCAAGCACTTAACCGGGAATTATTTTTCTCAAACCTCAAAGACAAGCAGCTTTAAACTTTCAACAGTGAATTCTTTTTGTTCTGATAATACTGACTGACTTATCTGTCAGAAAGAAATAGAAATTTTAAAACATAAGGCCTTCGTAAAGGTTCTTTAATTCAATAAGCTACACGTTTTCATTCTATGGTCACTTCAAATGATCGCCACATCAGGGGTTAAACGACTGGTTTCATCAGTAAGGTCAAACTGGCCTTCAAAAGCCCTTGCAAAAATTACTCCCACAGCACAACCAACACCAAGACAGATGAAAGCTTTAAATCAGACATAAAAGCCCCCTTAAAAAAAGATGAAAATACCTTCTCTAATGAAATGAAAGGCTTAAGAATCTCTTTCTGTAAATCAGCCTGATTCACTATTCACTTGGCTCTTTATTTTAACTGTGTATGTTCCAAAAAAATACAATTTAGTTTATGAGCACTTCTCAAAGCACATTACAGAAGAGAAAAGGAAAAAAGAATTGATTATATTTTAAAAGCTATAGTGAAAACGCTTTATATCTCATTTAAAAACACTGATAGTATCAGAATCTGTACTGGACAGCGAGTTCCACATAAACAGTGGTGAACAGGAGAAGGATCTATCACCCACTGTGTAGAGTCTAGTCTTTGGCAGGGTAAAGACTGAATCAGCAGATCGCAGATTCAGAGGTGGAGTAAAACCATACAGATTCCTTAAAATAATCTGTTAGGCCCTTCAATACTCTATAATCAGAAAAACCTTAAGCCCACTCTTAATTTACAGAGTAGTTTTAGCTACAGAATTCTTGACATGCTGAACCCAGTTAGTACCAGTAAGTAAGCCATTACATTTGTTGAATCTTAAATAAAGGAATGTATTGTTATTTCAGTATCGGTACATGCACAGTGAGGTTTTAAACAAAACACTGCTGCTACTCTGGTGGAATAAAGATACATTTGTGAAGTTCCTGTCATGCACTTCACATAAAAACACAGTCAGGCTAACAGCAAGGTTTCAAATTTCATCAAGATTTTGAATTTGGTATCCTTAACAGAGTAAAAACAATAACACTAAAGACACCCACTCTGCACATGATAAGCATAACCTCAGTCATGTCACTGTTTAGTTTAAAATGGATCTCAAACTATCAAAACAACACCAATAAAGTGCAGAGATCACAGCAATGGTATCTGACTTGGTAAGCATGTAAATCTGAGCATCATCAGTACAGTAGTGAAACACAAGACCATGAGTGACTACCGTGACCAAGAGACAACCTTTAGGTGGTATACAGGAAGGACTCCAGGACTGAGTTCTGTGGAACACCACAAGCGATTGGGACATCACATTTGAAACACAAGATGTACAAATTGGCTCCTGTTACCTAAATAGTAGCCAAACCGACAAATAAAAGTACCAGTGATCAATAGATAACTTTCTATCTGACCAAGCAGAATGCCATAATTGACAATATCAAAATGTGCATGTAAGTCCAGAACAATATTAAGTGGGTCAGAAGCCATTAGCAAAACATTAACTATCTTAGTAACATCTTTTCAGTCCTGTGTCAGTCTAAGGCCCAACTGGAAGCCTCAAACAGCTCTCTGGATGGAAGATGAGATGGAATTTGATCTGCCACTGCCCTTCCCGATTTGTTGTGAGAAAATGCAATTTGCCAGCTAAAAACACTATAACCAGGCTACTTCTGAAACAAGATGAGCTGCTTTTCACTTAGCCTCACAGCTGCTGGGTGTTTTGGCTAATTAATAACCCTTCAAGCAGAACCTGCTGTTGATAGTGATCACTAGTGATCATGTTGTAGAGCCTGTTTTACCTGTACGGCAGTCAAGCAGTTACACATTTTAACCTAAACTCTTTCATGGTTGTGTTTATTTTCAATAGCACCTAAAATAATCATCCAGACACTCTCAACACAACAGAGATGTACACAATATACAAGAATCAAAAGTACAAAGCTTAAAATCATAACAGTTAATAATGATATTAAACTCGGAAATCAATTATTATTATTATTCGAATGGGCTTAACATGCAGAAACGGAAATCATTGAATGTCTTATAATACAATCACTTTCAGCACAGAATTTACAGTATCTGTATGTAAAATAGAGCTGAAGTCTAATGTACCACAGTATAACCAACCATCTCCTGCCAACCAGGACCTCGTTAACAATTCTACCTGACCAGACTTTTCACTCACACTTCTTCGCAAGACCATTTAAACTGGGTGGTAATGGGAAATAGGCTGCACAGATGTGTTGCATAATAACACTTTTTGCAATAAACTGTTGAAGAGTAGGAATTTCGTTATCATCCACTTTACTTATATATTTTATAGATAAATATATAATAATTTAAACCTGCTGAACAATAATCTCTCAAGTTTTAATTATAAAACTTGTAAAAAAAAGCCACAAGCCTGGGGTCTCAGGAACCGCATGCTGTTAAAGAACTGAAAAAGTACTGAACTGGTAAACCCAGCAATGTACAGTAAAACTGACTGTACCGCTGCACCATGTAATAACTGATGTATTGTATGTATTGCAAAGGCATAGGATTCAAAGCACTGGAGGAACAGAACACTTTTGTTTTCCCGATTATGAGTTTGAGAATAGTTATGGCCCACATGGTATAATGATAAAATAAAACCAATTATAAAGGAGATTAAGGTCCAATATGAAAATACAGGAAAAACCCATTGTAACTGAATGTTATAGTACTTGCTAATAACTGTACTGCAGGAAATTAGTTTGTCAGGAACTTTACAAACCTGAGAATCGTAATACTTATTAAAGCCAGCGCTAGAAGACCTTGTAATAAGAGGGTTTGTTTTGCTCATTGGAGCTTTAACAACAGCGCGGTTATACAGTTGCAGGAAGCCATCTTCTGAAGAGTAAGTGACTACTTCCAATGAAATGTTACTGGAAAAATCTAATCTGGAGGCTATTTCCAGCATCTATATTACTGAATGTAAATGTTAAGCAGCCTGTAAAGAGATCATTTTCAAAGATTAAACAGACGCATCTCTGGACTCTGAACTTTTCAAGGCAGTAAGGACACACTATCAGAAGAAAATATTGACAGAGCCACCAACAGGCTGGCACCTCAAAGACATGTTCCATAAAGGAAGAATGAGGTGAGTGTTAGTTAAAAGATAAAGATAATTAACCACACTATAAACCCAGGAGTATGAATACAGCGAAGCATAAGCTACAACTTTCAAAACCCATAAAGAGTATGCAAATACAACAGCTCCAGCATTTTAATTCTTATATTTTAAATAGGTAAATAAAATTGAACAACTTGGGCAGAAAGTTACTTTTAGAAACTTTTCATTGTGTATTCATGTTTTTTGGTCACCTCCACTGGATGAACACATCCCACTTAACAGTGAAATGTTTGCTTAACGTAGTCTATGCAAATATAAGAGAAGATCACTTTATTGGCCATATACAATTTCCAAGTTGTCTTTTCGCATACCCCAGCTAGCTCTCCATGAGACACACAGACAGGGAGTGAAGCTTGGGGTCAGAGCGCAGGGTCAGCCATTTATACGGCAGCCCTGGAGCAGCTGGGGTTAAGGGCCTTGCTCAGGGGCCCAACGGAGTAGGATTCCTCTGCCGGCCGCAGGATTTGAACCAGCAACCTTCCAGCCACAGGAGCAGATCCTTAGCCACAGAGCCACTCCGCCAGTTATATGTATCGCAGTCTTGGACTATTGCTCACCACGTTTTACAAAACTGACCAAAAAATAAATGAAACTTTTTGTCAGTCGTGATGATGAAATTAAAGTAGCCATTAAAACACATAAGTTGCGTTATTCAGTTGAAACAAAATCACAAAGCAAAATGAGAGAGGAAAAGATGTGCTTCTCACTGACCTACTTTATCTACTCCATACTTATGACCGGCCACTTGATGCGAGAGTGGCACACATCCATTCAGGCGGGGTCCGTCCTGAATCACCGTCTTCTCCCTCCCCGGTCCGGAAAGACGGGTTTCCACGCCGGCCATCTGATGTTTGATTTCTAATCTTCCCATGGCCACTGATGAGTCCATTACCTGGTGGTGAGCTGACATCTTGACAGACGACTCTAAAGTAAACGCTCCTTAGTTAGAAGACTAAAAAAACACCTTTGGGGTATTGCTAAACAGCCGCCGTGATTCCAGCAACGTGATTTCGTAGATGGCCCGAAGGAGTCTTCATTTTGGTAATCACTGACGCGCAGCCATCAGATACCGAGTCTATGCCTTAGTAATACTATGCAACAAGGTCCCACAACCTCTCTACTACTTGAGTGACTCTCACATCTTAAACGGCAACACAAAATACAGCCTGGCCACATCCCACTTCCTCACTGAGCAGCGTCAGTACTCCTCCTCGATATCTGATTAAACACTCTAGGTCCCAAATCTACTACCTAAACATTCGTAAAGCTGAATTATATTCAGTTCGGGTGTGTTATAAAGCTCCTAGGAAGGGTCACAAAAAGCACAAAGCAGTCGATCTAGTCTAGGCACTTTCGTGAGGCTCGGTACACATCCCTGTAGCCAAGAAGCCGTGACATCGGTCCTTATCGATGCCTGTGCTGTAGCCTTTTTATCACTCCTGCTAGATAAATTCAGCGAAGCGTTCGAAGATATTGCTGATCCTGTCTTAAACTCTTCCGTCCCGTTCACACAGTGTAGACCTCTGAACAGCTTCCTTAATCGTCACTACGTTTATGATCTTGTCCTGAATGTTCCAGTTTGTGTGAGCTGCTGAAGCAGACGACTTTCTAGCACGTGACTGTCAGGTTTGCGGCATTTTCCCCTACTGTCGTAACCCCTTGCACATGCTTTGGAAACTGTACCGTTGCCAGTACTGTCGTAATCCACACACTCATGTAACGTGCGGGGAGTCATCTGCCGTGTGTGACAATACATATGCTAAAAGAGCCGAGAATTATGTAAGTCCTTCTTAAGTTGATTCAGTGGAAAGTGGTTGAAAGTAAGCAGTTAAATTATAACTACTATTGATGAAAAAAAAACCTGATCGCATGCAACAATTTCGGATTACGGGACAACGGATCTTTAGAGAATCTCACTTAATTTCCATCGTGTGTTCTTCAACGCAACAGTGTAATAATGTAATCTATAAACTACAGTATACTAATAAAGCATTAATTCAAAATGTGTCTTCAATAAACATTTAGTAAAACATTTTTAGAAGACTGTTGAAAGTACGTATATTTGTAGTACCCTACACACCCGCTGCCCTGGGTTGGGCCACCTTACGCAAAGAAAACGGCTGCTGGTTACAACCGGTACGAAACAAGTACTGTGCTGTCAAATTGAGTCTTCTATTATTTTTTTAGCTACATTTATTACAATTATACACAGTTCCTTTATATATATTTCAAAGGGAATGCAGAATTTATCAAATAGAATTCAAAGGTTCATAGAATAGGTCTGAGTAAACATCTATTGTACACGTTTGAGGATATTGTCTTGTGCAGCCTTCTATTGAATTATTATAATTATGTTTTTAATTATTTACTTTCGTTTAATGATGTATAAATCAGTGTTTGGCAGATTATTTTCTTGTGTCGAGAAAGGGGTGTTATTTTGATCTAGGAAGAAGTAAAGGTTTACTCCACGCTGAAAAGAGAAGAAACACAATTTTTCGGCTGTGGAGCCTTCGGGTGTTGTTTTGATCTATAAAAGTTTTTTGTTCTTAATGTATTTGTTGTTCTAAGGGTAGCTTTATATAAATTAGGTAATGTTGGTCTTTATGGTCCACACCATTCAACAAATTCTCCCTATTTTTAAGTGGATTATGCACATTTTGTTTCTTTGATTCTGTTCTCTTTTGCTCTTTTTGGGACGTTATTAATTTAAGATCATTTACATTTTCGCGAGGAATATGCTTTGAGTCTTTTTAAAAATAGACTCACCGAGGTATCACCGATTGTAGTGAAATAGTTAAGATTGTTTTAAGTGTTGGAACTTCACGGCCCCTTTGGTTACTTTTTCGTCTACAAAATCTAATGTGTTACAGTGTATGTAAGGATTGATACTGTACAGTGGTGTGAAAAAGTGTTTGCCCCCTTCCTGATTTCTTATTTTTTTGCATGT